CCCCACCGTGCACCTTATTGCCTTCGCTCCTGCAGACTCATTTCCTCCCCCCATCGACTGTCAGATCTGCTGCCTCTCGAACCTGTTTTGTTCTGCCCTGTGTCTGGCTGCTGGAGTGTTATGCCCAGTTTTATTTTTTTTAATTTTTATTTATTGATTTGAGAGAGAGGGAAACATCAACTTGCTGTTTCACTTATTTATAAATCGTTGGTTGATTCTTACGTGTGCCCTGACCTGGGATCAAACCTACCACCTTGGTGTGAGGGGTCGATGCCCTAACCAACTGCACTACCCGGCCAGGGCCATTACGCCCAGTTTTAAGTCCCACCCCCTTCGTGAGCCAGCACGTGTGGAATTCCCTGGGCTCTTGGGATTTGCTCCCCGACTCCCCCTTGTCTGTCCTGCTTAAGTTCAGCTCCCACCTGGCGTGGACGTGCAGTGCCCAGCCCCTGTGTACCCCCTGCCTCGGATCACTGTTGTTTACCGTGGGTCTTAGCTCCTGGCCTTCACCATGATCCCCCTGGGAGGCTTGGCAGCTCCTACAGTGTCCCATGGGCGGGGGGTGTCACAAATTAATGAATTTCATCAATCAGAAAACTTTATCAGAGAAGCTTTAGTGGTACGCTTGGGGATTACTAAATCCTAAGAAAGGAGAGTAACCAAGGTGTTTTTTTTTTGCATGTGTGCGTGTCTGGAGTTTTAAAAATAAAACAGAGTGTTCCAGTTTTGAGGCCATTTTACCTAAAGCCTTTAAAATCTGCCAAGGTCCTGCCTAGCCGGGCGTGGCTCAGCGGTTGAACGTTGACCTAGGATCCAGGAGATCGGGGTTCGATTCCCGGTCAGGGCACAGGCCCGGGTTGTGGGCTGCAGCCGATCAATGACTCTCTCATCGATGTTTCTATCTCTCTCTCTCCCTGTCTCTGAAATCAATAAAGACATATATATATATTTTTTAAATATATCTTTATTGNAGCCGATCAATGACTCTCTCATCGATGTTTCTATCTCTCTCTCTCCCTGTCTCTGAAATCAATAAAGATATATATATATATATTTTAAATATATCTTTATTGATTTCAGAGGGAGGAAAGGAGAGGGAGAGAGAGAGAGATAGAAACATCAATGATGAGAGAGTCATTGATCAAGCCCACAACCTGGGCATGTGCCCTGACCGGGAATCAAACCCTGATCGCCTGGATCCTAGGTTGACGCTCAACCACTGAACCACGCCCGGCTGGGAAGATATATTAAAAAAAAAAAAAAATTAAAAAAAAAAAATCTGCCAGGTCCTTGCCCCATCGATTCCCATCTAGGAATTTATCTTGAGAGAATAGTCTTGGATATCTGCTGAGAACGTTCACTAGGGTGTTGTTTTATGATGGAAAAAACGGGAGGTAACCTAGATGTCCAACGATAGGGGATTGGTTGAAGAAAAGGGAAAGACCTCATAGTGCATACTCATACCCTGGAGTAACTGTTTCTTTCTTAAAAATGATGATTTAGAAGGACATCTGTTGACTTGCTCAACTGTTCCATGAAGGAGGTATGTTTGAAAATGCTTTATTATTGTCTGTTTCCCTTTCCCTTATTTGTAGAGAAAGTGTAATCGGTATTGGTAGTGTTCACAGCGATTATCGTTGGCTGTTGAGATTGTTGATGATTTTTATGATCTTTTTGCTATTGTCCTGCCTTTTAATAGGAAGCTTCCTTGATTAAAGTGGGGATTGTGTACCCCATTTAAAGCCCTGCATCCCCGCGACATTGGGCAGGACGCCGGGCCCATGTCAGAGGGTAGCGGGACACGCGGGAACATGCTGCTTTGGGTCCGTGCTTCCCAAATCACGGGAAAGGGAATTCCGCAGGGTGGACTCTACTGCTTGGTGTCTTCGGGGCTGGACTCAGTAGGACGTTGTTGACACTCCGGCTGCTGAGCTTTTTGTTCCCTGATTGGGAGCTGGCGCCCTGCAGAGGGATGGGGAGCTGGGGATCCGGCCGGCCTGGATCGCGCCCTCGACTCTTGCGTGTGCTCCTGGGGGACCCTGAACTCTTAAGCTGTGGTTTGCATGTTAATAGGATGGAGTCGGTGAGCGTGTTGCTCAGGGTAGGCGTTTCCCAAATGCCAGCTGACCGGTCGCCTACCCCGATAGCCAACCTGCAGCCACACCTAATGGTCGTCTGCAGCGCAGCAGTGGTCTCATTTCTTACCAATCACACAGGTCTCCTGAAAACAGACAGTATTGTGGGTTGGAAAATGGTTTCTGAAATGACTTCCTTTTGACTCACACACGTCCCGCCCCCGCCCTCTTGTGTCCCCTCAGTCTGCGGCCCCGGCATCGACATCCGCAATGACTACCAGCAGCTGAGGCGCCTGGAGAACTGCACGGTGATCGAGGGCTACCTGCACATCCTGCTCATCTCCAAGGCGGAGGACTATCGCAGCTACCGCTTCCCCAAGCTCACGGTCATCACCGAGTACCTGCTGCTGTTCCGCGTGGCCGGCCTCGAGAGCCTGGGCGACCTGTTCCCCAACCTCACGGTCATCCGCGGCTGGAAGCTCTTCTACAACTACGCCCTGGTCATCTTCGAGATGACCAACCTCAAGGACATCGGGCTTTACAACCTGAGGAACATCACCCGGGGCGCCATCCGCATCGAGAAGAATGCCGACCTCTGCTATCTGTCCACCGTGGACTGGTCCCTGATCCTGGACGCCGTGTCCAACAACTACGTCGCGGGGAACAAGTCCCCGAAGGAGTGCGGGGACCTGTGCCCAGGGGCGCTGGAGGGGAAGCCCACGTGCGAGAGGACCACCATCAACAACGAATACAACTACCGATGCTGGACCGCGAATCACTGCCAGAAAAGTAAGAGTGAGTGGCCGCAGCTCTCCTCTTCCCCCCTCCTTTCCTGCCCCTCTGCCTCGCCCTCCCCTCTCTCCCCAGCACAGGGCTTGCACTGCGGGTGGGGTTGTCTTGCATTTAGGCCACGGCCTGCCTGCCGTGGAAGTGGGGGTCTTGGGTGGCTTTCTGTAGCTCCTGGGGACTCAAGGAATGCAGGACAGTAGCAGCTGGAGGCCACCGTGGCTGCCGTCAAGACCGTGCAAATCAGATGGGTGGGGGCGGTTAGAGAGCACGGAGGGCCTAAAAGGTGATGGAAAAAGAATTAAATTCAAAAGAAAAGACCATTCAAATCACATGCTGGAAATAATGCCCCGCCCTTCTGGGCTAGAAACCTGCTGACCCCTGATGGGAAAGGTGACGCTGTGCGCCGGGAGGTGCCTAAGCCCTTACACGCCAACTCTTTCATCCTTTGCGTGAAAGGGTATTTGTTGGTACGGCAGGCCCTCCTTAGCTTGAATACAGTCGGAAGATAGTTGAATAAAGGGAAAGCAAAGACGCGCTTCACCCCCTGTGAAACCGGTGACCTCCACCTGCCTTTGGTCCTTAAAGATGCCTGTCCGATGCTTAGGTGTCCTGATATATGATGAGCCCCTGGCCAGGAGCCCCGAGGTCAGGCTGTACCTGCAGGGGGCTGTTGAATGAGGTGCATTTGTACCCCTGGGCTTCCATTTCCTTTTACCCCTTTCCTAAAAAGTTATGCAAATCTTACAGAACGACTTCAGTGAAAAAACTTTTGAAATGTGATCCTTGCTCTTGGGGGTGAGATGGGGGCATTTTGAAGTTCCCCGTGTATTTATCTACAGTAAACTTATTCCCCCGCCCCGACTGTAACGGAACTGGCCTTATTGCCATCAACACCTTGAGAGCCAGGTTATTCGGTGTTAAAACGCCACTCTGGTTCTCTGCCTTACTGCTTTCAGCAATGTTGAGCTGTATTGGCCAAGAAGGTTCCGCTCACTGGTTGGAAGCCAGTGTGGTAGCTAAAAATAGCTATTATTAATGGTTGGCCCAGTTAAAGACCCAAGGAGCCCAAGTACTCTGGCTACTCCTGAAGAGCGAAGAAATCCCACATTGGTAGGCTTGCCTTGTAACGTAAACAAATCAAAGGCCAGACCCCACAGGTGGCCATTAAGGTAAGGATGCTTTCTTGGACCCAGCCCAGACTTCCACGCTCTGTGTCATTCGATCAGTGCGCCCAGGAACGTTTGGTGAGTCAGGTAAGGGGGTCCCTTTGGCTGCTGCCGGGACTCGAAGAGCTGAGAACGCCACCTGGCCACTCGAAGGATCCCTGTTGGCCGGGGTTGGAGGTAGGCACTGTGCGAAAGTCGCGTTGATGAATTACAACTGTGCTCTAATCACGAGGTTACCCACCGGTTGGAGAAAACAACAGAAAATATTTTTAAATAGTTTCTTGACATTTAAAAACAATGTTGTTCTAAAAGAAAAAGGTGGCATCCAGGGAGGCATCCCATGTACTGGGAAGAACACATGGGATGCTGTCGGGATGAGGCCAGGGTGACCTTGACCCGCCAGCCCTCCCGGGCTGGACCTGGGCATCTTTAGAATGCTCCTAAGGCAGTCCCAGTGGATACCGACTTTGGTCTCACTGTGGATTTTTGGCTGTTTCAGACCAGCTGCTGGTTGATGAAGCCTGGAGCAGAACCAAGGCCTGAGTTCAGGGTCCACTGGAAATGAGCAAATAATTTAAGGTGGCTGGTCCTCAGTCTCTCCATGTGCAGAATGGGCTAGATCCTGCCTTCCTCGTAGGGCCGTTGGAAGATTATAAGGAGGCAGAGGAAAAAGGGATGGGGGTTAGAAATTGGGCCCTGCTGCCGGTTCGGCTCATGTGGACAGGCCTGTGGGCTGGACACTGGCTTCTCAAGGCCACAGTCTGTAGCCTTTGCTTCGGCCAGTTGTCTCTGTCCTGCTGACTCTCTGTGATTTCACAGCGGAGTATTTATTTAAAATTAATAACAGCATTTAGGGAAACTGTCTTCCCTTCACCTTGTCCTGAAACTCATAGATGGGTTTCTTGGAGATTTTCTAGTTGAATTGGAATTCTTTCCCTTTGCCCAGATTCCCTTCAGCCCTGCGCTGACCAGCGTGGCAGCCACTGGCCACATGTGGCTTATTGCACGTGGCTTATCCAAATGGAAGCTCCCTCCAAAGGGATTTCAAAGACATAATGTGGGGGAAGAAATGAGTTATCTCTAATATTTTTTATACTGACTACCTGTTGAAATGATAATATTTTGGATACTTTAATAATGCAAAGAAATGCCACCTATTTCTTTGAACTGTTTAATGTGGTTATGAGACAATTTGAAATTAGGGATGGGGCTCCCGGTTGCTTTCCGTTGGAAAGTCCTGCTGTAGAGCCTTCCTTCGAAGGCCACGGGTTCCTCCCCACACCACCTCTCTGGCTGAGCCCTGGGCGCTATGATATCCCTACACCTCTCCAGCCAAAAGGCTTAGGAGTCGTTCAAAGAGCCTGGTGAGGGGCGTTGAGTCTGGACAGAAGGTCTGCCTTGAGGTCAACATAAGCACTGAGATGGCCACGTAAAAAAAAAATTAAGCAGAGAAGAACCCCACTCAGTTCCTCTTTACAGGGCTGGCTGCAGAAATAGAGAGGACACCTGCGGAGAGACGTCAAGGGTGTGTGTGCAATTTTTGACCCGATGGAGAAACATTCGGTTATGTAGCGCAGATACCTGCGTCCTCGCCTTGGGACATCAGTTCTCGCTCTTTCCCTGCTCCCGTTCCTTGGCGCATCTTTAGCAGACGGGGGTTGCTGGAGCTCCGTCCGAGGCCCTCTTTCCACGATTCTCGTTCCCCCGACTGCCCCATCCCCTGGGGCCTCTCCGCCTGTCCTTCCCGCCTGAGCCCGCTTCCCGCGTCTTCTCCACCCAGCGCCATGTGCAGGTCCCTATGCAGGGGACCGTGGGCGCGTCGGAGTCTGTGGCCTCCCCTGTCTCCGCACGGCCAGCCTCTCATTTACCTCGGTTCCCTCTCTGGATGGGCAGCATTTGGTTCCCCTCGGTCCCGCGTCCGAAGCTTGGGCGTCACTAGGCTGTTTCCTTCCCCAGCTGGACGCCAAACCTTTTCCATCGGAACAGCTCCTCTCACCCACCCTCCCCGCTGCCCCCCTGCCTGTGCGCTGACCTGGGCTTCCCACAGCCTCCCTGCGTCTCTGCGTCGGCCCAGTGACCCTCCCCAGCGCCCTGACCACTAGGCTCCCCTATGCGAAGCACCGTAGCGTGAGCACCTGGCACATCATGAGGCCCCTTGGTCTTCTGCTCCTGTAGCCCCTGGAACCAGCTGGGCCACACACCCGGCTACTTGCCCCCCATCTCTGCCAGCAGTGTCCTTGGCCCCTGATGGTGCTCCCCCATGCTGACCAGCCGGCCACCGCCCTCTGGGCAGACTTCGTGGCCATTGGGCTGACCTCCAGTCTCGCCTTCTCCACCCAGAGCCTTTAGGACTTTGCAGGCGGCCGCGTACCTGGCAGCCGCCCTCCTCGCACCGCTGAGTAAATCCTGGGTGTGCCCTCAGCCCTTGGAGGGCATGGCTGTCACCCCAGGGGCCAGCATGGCACCTGCTTTGTGCAAAATTAATTGTCGGGAAGATACACTCCCCCCCCCCC